AAGTGATCCAGGGCAGCCAGGGCAACACAGAGAAACCCTGTCTCAAAAACAAACAAACAAAACAAAAAACCAAAACCCAAAACCCCCCAAAAAAACAGCAATAACAAAAAACACACCAAAAAAAAAAAAAAAAAAAAAAAAACAAGCAAAAAGATTATTTGCCGTAGCACACCCAGCAGAGGCAAGTGGATCTCTGTGAGTTCTGAGCTAGTGAGAACTGATCTGCATATGAGTTCCAGGTCAGCTAGGGCTTATATAATGAGACCTTACCTCAAAACAAAATCATAAAAAGGTTTATAAAGCAAACAAACAAAGCTGCTTCTACTCAAGACTAAATAATCTACAAAATTATGAAGTGCGACCAGATATGCCAAAGAGACAAAACAGTTTTACCTTTGAAAAAGTTATGGCAAAAGTCAGGGTCACCATACAAGTGGGGACAAATAAATCACTTAAGACTTTAACAGAAGTTTAACAGCTAAGTGGGAACTCCAAGGTGAAGGGCACTTTAGGGTATTGACTGTACCACACTTTGGACAGCCCACATCTCAATAAACTCATTTCTACTAGAAACATCCTAAAATGCACTTCATCATCCAGCCTACTGAACACCCTAGCCTAGTGTCACATCATCGTGGAGGGCTAGCTGTGTGCCTCCCTGCTCCCGACAGCAGGGTACCTGACAGCTGCGGCTTACTGCTGTTGTCTAGTATCATGAGAGTGATATAGATCACAAATCACCTGTTTGGGAAAAGATTAAGTTCAAGATTTGAAGCAAGTTTCCTATCAAATGTGTAAAGAAACACTGTGAGGAAGGTATTCCCAGGAGGAAAATTCAGAATCAAAGGCACTTTCTCGTGTCTTCCAGGCAGGAGGGCAGAAGGCCTCACTGGGGTCCAGCACAAAGGCCCCTGTTCTCATTAGTTCTAAGGCTGGATGCCTGGGGCAGCAGTTGGAATAAATGATACTGGATGAATTAAGAGATAAAAACATTCTTTTTAAAGCTGGGCATGGTGATGCATGCCTTTAATCCCAGCACTCAGGGGGTAGAGGCAGGCAAATCGCTGTAAGGTCAAGGCCAGCCTGGTCTACGAAGTCCAGGACAGCCACGGCTACACAGAGAAACCCTGTCTCAAAAACATAAACAAACAAACAAAAACCAAACAAACAACAAAACATAAGGAAAAAACTGAAAATATTCTCTTTCTATTTTTTTTTTTGCAATAGATCAGATGCGGTGGCACATGTCTGTTAATAACAGCACTTGGGAAGCTGAGGCAAGATCATGAGTTCAAGACCTGCCTGGATCAAAGTTTGCTGCTAGGTATATAGTGAAACCCTACAAAAAAAAAAAAAAAATCCCAATTGATTAAACAACAACAAAATGATTCTACTAATGTACAACTAGAGAAGCTAACAGTGAATTGTTGTAAACTGTGAAACTTGTGTATTATTAGGCAACACATACCTCAGAAACACTTGTGTCTACTTTTAATTAAGAAAACACAAGCTTAAGGATTTGTAGATGCTTGTGTTCTCCATGAAATACCTGGTAAGTTTTTGTTGTTGTTACAAAAATAATACATAAAACAACAACAACAACAACAAAAACCCACATACTAAAAAGAAAATGTTATATCTCTATTACCCACCTAGATGAAGTTGTGGTTAATTTTTGCACATACACAGATAAACATAAAAACCCTCAAATTTGTATGTGTATTGTTTTACATTCATAATTTAATTTTTAAAAATGATGCACACGATATGTTAGTTCATTTTCCCTCTAAGCAGGAATAATACAAAGACATGTTTCCATTTCAACACATTTCTGTAGTGGTTTAACGTGTAATCTTTTATTTCATAAATGCCCTACATATTTTTCTGTATTAGAAAATCAAAGCATTAGCAGTGGTATAGGAAGGACTTCCTTATTATGCAAAAGTCCCTGGGTTTGACACAGTAAGAAAACAACACTAAATAAAATCACGGTGTAGGTAACTATACCTCACTGAAAGACAGGGTGACTAGCAGTCGGCTGACTGTTCAAGCAAGTGCAGGGAGGGAGCTGGAGTAACTCCTAAGTCTAAATCTCAATAATGAGAACATGATTCACACAATCCTGATGGTGCAAGCAAGGCTTCAGTGAGAAAGTATTTTTAAGCCACAAAGAAAAGGAAACAAATGAACACATTTATAAAGCTTTCTCACTGTCCAGCACAAATGACCACAGTCTGTGGCAGACCAGCTTTCTGGATTGATGACATGAATCTAGTCATTTGTTTTACTTAAGAGAAAAACAGAAAAAGAAGTATCTGTCATAAGATCAATAAGGCTAGAGTGAAAAACAGGTTTCCTCAAACAAATTCAAGACGATAAAGAATTTCATAAAATAAATCTCACAAATTCTTTTGTTGACTTTTAAACATCAAAAAATATGTACTAAGCAATTTTTGTTTTGAACCTGAAGGAAATACAGTGATCTTTAAAATGGGGGGAAGGAATGACAGGAAAGGTTATTTTAAAGACGTCACAAAAACATGAACACATAAAAATTAACTTAACATGGAATTCAACCAAAAAGCTGAAATACGTGGGAAAACAAAGCAAAAACCAAACCTGAGAAAAATGCCTGTTACACAGGCAGGCTATGCAAAAAACATGAAAACTGCTAATATCAGAATGACTGGAGACTGATATATTTCACCTTCCTAAGGCTCATCCTACAGAGTTTCAGACAATCTACATCAAGTATCAAAATACAAAGGACACATATTCAAGGAGTTAATCTTACTTGAGGAAATTTATCCTAAGAAGGTAATTATATACAACTTAAAGCAAAGTAGCGAACAAATCAGTTGAACTGAGTAGAGACTCTCTGAACTGTGATATGTATTATGCAGAACAGAATTAATACATAGCCATTGTAATTACTTGCAATAAGCTTAGATATTTTTTTGGTGATGAATATTATCAGAGCGTAAGTTTTATAAAGGGGGCTATGAGATGGAATTATGGTATGAAAGCATCACGTCAAATGGCTACACAGAATTTTTTCACAAAGCTATTTAAATGGACGGCCACCAAGATGTTGACAGTGAATTTAGGTGATGTTTACATACTTGATGGTATTTTTCTGGGATTCAAAACAGCGAATGTGCCACTTTTATGAGAATAACAAACTTTTTACTGTGGGGATACTGTGGCAGACCTACCTGTTTTATTCTAATAAGCTGAGTTCTACCTATGCCTAGCTTAACTGTCAAGGTTATAGTTACTTGCTTGTTTGCTGTGACTGCTCTTACTGTGCCCTGGCAACTCAGGAGGGAGCACTGAGACACTTGGAACTGCTTTAGCCTTGGTCTTTGTTGTACTAATGAGGTGATTCAGATAACCTCAACTGTCTTATTTTGTTGGAAACTTGACACAAGCTAGAGTCAACAGAAGAGGGAACCCTTCTTTAAGAAAATACCCCCAACAACATGGGCAAGTCTGTGCGGTTTAAAAAAAAAAAAACTGATGTGGGAAGGCTCAGCGCATTGGGGACAGTGCCACTCCTTAAGAAATCAGGCTGAGCAAACTATTAGAAGCAAGTCAGGAAGCAGCGTTCCTTCATGACCTCTGCATCAGTTTCTTCCTCCAGGTTCTTGCTGTGAGTTTCCACCCTAACTTTCTTCAACAATGGACTGTGATGTGGGAAGTATAAGCTGAAATCTTTTTCACCCCAAGTTGCTTTTGGTCACAGTGTTTTAGCACAGCAACAGAAAGTTTAACTAAGAAAATGACCTCTAGGGACAATGAGTTCAGTCATATGGGTAATGGTTTAATCAGCTTGCCGCTGTCATGAAAACCCAACCTGAGCATCAAAAGTGAGCAGAAGTTTCTGGTTGAACACACCGGCATATAAGAACAGAGAGGTGATTTGACACTATTGGGAGAAGTTGTCAAAGCTCCCATTTGTCTTATGGACCCTACCCCTAAGTGTATCCTGTCTGCTCAAAGTATGGAAGTTAAGAATTCTGAGAGTGGGGTTACAGTTAAGATACAAAGTAAATAAACTGTTAATTACTATAAAAAAATAATTCTGAGAGTTATTTTAGTGAATTTTTGAGCTTGAAGGGATCAGGAGGAAAAATGCAGGTGGTCTGGGGCCCCCTCAGCCCTGTGGCTATAGCCCAATGTACAGGCAGTCATGTTGAAGACTACCCCTTAACCTGTACTCATTTCAGGAGGTTAAGTATCAGAACTGTACCATGTCAGAGCAACTGGGATGAAATGGAGCAGTGGTCATCCTTTGCTAAAGACAATGCTACTTTCTACATTTAATGACTTCAAAGCAAGCAGATGCTGTAACGGTAAAGGATTAATAGCTTCGCCAATAGGCTTTGCAATGTCTCATTCTTCTTGGGTATCTAAATGCCTCCTGGTCTGTGCCACTTGTGAAGCTCCCCTAGGTCATGCTCCCCCAGCACTGTATTTATCAGAGCATCAGCCAACATGTGCTGCATTTGCCTATGCCTTTCTTTCATAACTTGGTTATGACTGTCAAGACAGGGACCACATCTCAGTTGCCATGTATTCTCAGTAGCCATAGCAGAGCAGATGGTCCATCTGTTTAGCAAGTGGATAAAGTTCAGTGAATAGCACTGCCCATTAACGACACTCCAGTGAGCAAAGTGCTGGGTGGACACTTTAGTTTGAAACATCAGAGTTGGTTTTACAGTTTTCTTCCCCCTGACCTTTCTCCATTTAGCTGAACACTGTTGGAACTAGTTAATCAAAGAGATAAGCAACATCTGCATGCTAATAGTAACTGAAGCTAAGAATTCCTGCAAACACAGCAAGAAAAAGGAGGACAGTGTCAAGTGTTTTTTCATCCTTAGATTTTTATTATCTCATATCAAAACACTAGAAATTATGATGTAAAGACTAACTCCTCTGTCCAACTCTCCCATCCTCAGCCAGCAAGCTATTACCTTTCCCTACAATGACTGACTTACCTTTTAATCTAGCATCACCTCCAAAGGCACCACAGCCCCAGTTTCCTGTGGCCACTGCAGAAAGATTCTCAGAAGGAACTCCAGGACGAAGAAACCCACAGTAAGCCTGCAGGATGAAAGAGATACCACAGCACATGAGCGAGAGACACGAACAGCACCCACTGTCAAGTTTTTGTTCTCATTTTTAGAGCCAAAATAGAATGAAGAATGGAGAAAAGGAGTAAGATATGGGACAGAGTAAGAACTGAAAAATTCCAGTATTTGTTCGGATGTAACTGCTTTGATGTTGGACAAATCAAATCCCTCAAACCAATACACCTCTTAGTTTCTCTATTCAGATGAAACCAACAGAAATAATACTACTAGCTAGATTTCAGAGCCCCGTGGCAAAGGACCAGGAGTTACAACTATCGTGTGTAGACTTGTGATCAGTGTCTCCTACTTCCATGGTGTCAAGGTTCTTCCAGAGCGTCACTGGGCTTGAAGAGTCAGAGTCAGTTTTGTATGCAGTACCTTACTACCTAACCCCTGACCTTACTACATTCAGCCAAAGGAGAATTGGCTAGGGTTAGACTAAGAACTACAGCTTTAAAAAGGACTCTCAGACTCTATAACAAAATCTTAGTGCAGACTGCACTAAACCCCACCCCTCACCCCCAATCCTCCTGTGTCTGGCTCCTGAGGGCAGAGATCAAAATGACCTGTAAGACTTCTCAGTCCTAGTTTCCAATTTTACAGCTCTGTTCTAACCTAGAACATTTAAGCATTTGCTAGTAACCCCAGAAAAGAAACATATATCCTAAATATGCTGGCTAGATAGGCACTAAATGAAAAGCTGATTTTGGATACAAGAAAGCCCTAGTTTAAGGTCTTGAAGTTTCTGATTTTTATTTCTTTGCTATTAGCCAAGTCACTCTTCCTGCCTTTTAAGGATTCTTAGCTTTGTGAAACTATCAGACTAGTTACAGAGGCTTAATGTCAAGCAAATCTCCTCTATGTTATCTCAGGCATCAAACAAAGACAAAAACATAGTCTACAAGGCCAGGATGGTGGTGTAATCCTAGAACTTGGGAGGCAGAGACAGGAGATCGCTGTGAGTCCGAGGCCAACCTGGTCTACAAAGTGAGTCCAGGCTACACAGAGGAACCCTGTCTCAAAAAAAAACAGAAAAAAAAATTTACACATTCTGTAATACTAAGCCAATCTAAAAGGATGAAAATCCCTAGAGAAAAAGCAAGGGCAAAGAAAGATACTTTTATGAAGCCCCACATGTAGAAATATAGTAAGTTGTTCTCTAAAGTCTCCATAAAGATAGAAAATTATATTTTATACACTCTCTGGATGGATTAACAAGGCTATTTTTCTACCTCATTTTAAGCTGTAAATCCTGATAGATACTAATTATAAGTTGTTGCTGAACCATTGTTCAATATCAGGGTACAGAGCTTATATAAGAACTGACAAATTACCTGCATAGTCAGATGCACTGAGCTTCTGAAAACCCCTTTCAGGTCAACAACATGGGGGAGCTCCATTTGTTTTTTGGCAGGTTCTTGAAAGATGAAGAATCTGACATTCATTATATGAACACGAGGGAGAGCAACCCTCTGTCAGAATAAACACAACTCTGCCACTCCGTTTCCTGTCACTTTTTCCTAACATGCTTAAACAAAGAGTTCTTGGACTCCCAAGTTTATGGTTTTGCCTTATATTATCTGAATAGTTTCCTCTCCACTACTGTAATCATTCTGGAGGAGAGACAACACTGTAAAGACAGACACCAGTATTTCTCCTTTTGGTCATTAGACTACTGAAACAATGGACCCCAAAGACTTAAAACTTTCCCAGAAATCTCTTGCTAGAGGAAGGGAAAGGCTGAAGCCCTGCTATCCCTAAAGGTGAACTTGCCTCCCAAAAGGAAACTCACACAATTCTGACAGGTCACTGGACAACTCTGCAGGACAGATGTGCTAGGACAATAATGGGCCAATGATGGGTGGGACCAGGAATGCTTGCTTATACTCAGCCCCCGCCCTTTAACGCTACATCTCTTGTTAGGACCTTTATTTGTTTCTCTTCCCAGCAAGGTCACACTGAACACATCTCCTTTTTTCTGTTTTTCTCTATGACCTGTCTCTTTAGAGTACTGGAGATGGATGGTTGAACCTAGCATGTCTGGACTAGCAGACCTTAGAAGCTCTAAAACAGTTTCTAAATAACTGGGAGTTAAGTCACTGCAATGACCATCGTGATCTTAGTGAGCATAGTTAATGATAGACAATTTGAAACATTCAAATTATTAAAACTAACATCTAACATAAAGGATCACACGTTTTTTTTGAAAAGTGATCTTGAAAAAATGGCCAAACAAAAACTCTTGAAATGGAAACTATACACTTAGTGGCTTTTATCAAATATTACCCGATAAAACTTCTACAAATAAATGATTTAGACTAGAATTACATAGTAGTATATTCAAAGGACTGGTTAGAATGACTAAGTGTAAAATGCTTTCATTCTGGTAAAGTCAAGCAGATTCAGAAGTACAGTAGTTGCCCAGTATCCTTTAGGGGAGTATTTCAGGATACCACTATGGATACCAAGATCTACTGGTATTCTTATCACTTCCTTAAGAGAGCACACAAGCCTATACAACCCTGCTGTATACTTTAAAGAGCTTAACTCATGTCTAGCTTTGCAAATAGTTGCTACATGTATTAAATAGCAAGTAATAAGAAAAAAACCTATACATGTTCAGAATGAAGTAAAACATGTTTTCAATGTGCATTTCATTGAATCTATAGATGCAGAACCCAAGAGACACGAAGGGCCAACTAAATTTAGTTGCCCGAACCCCTTAGGGGGTCTTCCCAGGGACAGCCATTCTTCAGGTCAGGAGAGTGTTTCTTCTTTCACAGCAGAAACCAAACTTACATTGGTGGCCAAGAGATAAGAAAAGGAAGCAATCTCAGAAGTTTTATCAAGTCTTCACTCCATAAAGTTGTTAGGAGTGCTCTAGAGTGCTTTACTGCTGAATACTTTACTTTTCCCCCACCACAGCTGGAGTGTTTGAGGAAACTGGCAGGAGAAAAAACAACTTGAGCTCTGGCCATACAATGACTGTTTGTCTGCAGATATGCTACAATATAGTAATTTATTCACCCTAATAAATAAGTCAAAAAGAGGAAAGTATTCATACCCCCAAAAGAATAAGGAGATCTACTACAGCTGGGACACACAAAGTGAATAAATTGTAATTAAAAAAAAAAAAGAATAAGGAGATTAATGAACACCTATATGCTAGAATGAGATCTGATGAAAAGGGAAGAGAGAGGGGAGAAGAGAAAGGTAACCTTGGATTACTGACAGTTGCAAAGGGGAGTACTGAAAACAAAAACAAAAGAAAAATACTGCCATCTAGAATTAAAAACTAGAGACCAGCCAGGAAATAGTAAAGACAATGTAAAGACAAATGTTTTACTATCATGTAAACATATACTTTCCCCAGATTAATAATTATTTTTCTTGGAGAATTGCTTATTCATATGAAGTCAACCTATCATACTTGTTCAATCTAAACTAATACACAGTTAATACAGAAGTTTCTGATATTCTGTGATTTCTTAAAAAGACACTTAATTTTTTTTTTGGAAAAGAGAATAAAGTTTTATTACTAAAGAGTCTTAAAATTATCCTATGCTCAATCATAATACATTCTATAAACTCCTAACTATCCTTGTATAGTGGGACACTTGACACATGTCTTATGCCTCACAGAAAAGACTATGGAATCAGTAAACATTCACAACCAGGATAGTCATTAAGTAAGGACTTATCAATCCAAACAATTATAAACACAAGAGAGCCCAATACCGTCTGATAAAATATATAATTATAGGTTACCTTTAGGTACATTTATATGACTAAATTTTATGTGGAAAGACCTACAAAAACATCCTTTTGAAAGGGAGAATTACGATGGCTTTTTTTTGTCCTTGAAATAGTTACATATTAGCACAGTTTTATCCTATTTCCTATTTATTTTGTCTGTAATGTACATGCCAGTGAGCACCAAGTTATTCCTGTGGAGGTCAGAGGACAACTGGAGAAAGTTCAGTTCTCTTCTTCAATGTGGATTCTAGGGACCCAAGTCAGGCCATCAGGATTGATGGCAATTGTCTTTAGCTCTTGAGCTACCTCACCAGTCTGATTTCTGCTATTTTTAAATGAATGAAATGAAATGTAAAATGAAAGCAGTCAGCTGAGTTGAGTTTTCTTATTTGTAAAATAATTTTAAAAAATGGATCAGCTATCTTCATGGCTTCCTGGTTCTATGTATTGAGAAAGTTTATGAAAAACTTAGGAATGATACCTTTTGCACTAATACTCCAAAATAAAAAGAATATGACACATATTTTAAGATTATGAATGGCCAGATATTGAACTTAAAAATATCAGAAGAAAACACCAATTGGTTTTGCCATTAAGCTTTGATTTAGTAGTTGTAACCCTACTCCAAACTTGGATCTCCACAAAAAACCAGGAGGAGAAGAAACAGCTACAATACACTTTGTTTAATTTCTAACCAGAAGGCTCCAGGAAATGCAATCAGTGTGGGCTCAGTAGACAAGTCGAAGAGCACATACAGTAGCTCACTGGCACCTCATGCTTCCTTTGCAGAGGTACCTGCCACTTTACAAGCTGGAATCACAAATCTTTCCAACACCAGTGTCTAAAATGTCACCCAGCTGATCTCTCCCAGAATTAAAAATAGCTTTGCAGTATCTGTTGGATCAAGTGAGACTGATCCCTGCTTTTTTTCAGATCAGCTCTACTTGCGGACCCTGATGCAGGTCTAACAGGGTAGGAGGCGCCCACAAAGAGTGGCCTCTTCTAGAGCATTTCTGCTTCAGTTGTCCTCTCCTCAGCAATGCCAGTGGCAAAGAGGACGCTGGAGCTGAGACACACACTGTGTTATGGTTTCATTTAGAAAAAAAAATCTATCACTCTCCTACCTACCTTCCATTTGGTATGTAAAAATTTTATGTACGTTATTACTAGTATGATCTAACGTGTTTTGTTTTAAAACATTTACATAATATTTTTATGCTTATAAAACATAATGAAATATAAGAATTATTTCCTTCAACTATTATTTCTCTTTTATGTGATTCTTTATCCTTGTCCCAAAATTTATATATCTGTTCAATAGATAAGTATAATTAATAAAGAACAAAATTTAATTTAGGAAGCCCAAAGTTATTTGAATTCGTTTTTATTAAGTGTGTGTGTATGTGTGTGTTCGCGAGAGAGATGGGGGGAGGGAGAGAATGTGTAGAGGCTTGAGGTGCTGCTAGGTGAACTCCTCTATTGTTCCACCTTATTTTTTGAGACAGGGTATTTCACTGACCACAGAGCTTGCTGTTCCAGCTACAACAGTGGGCCAGTAAGCACCAGGGACCCACTTGTCTCTGCCTCCCCACTGCTGAGGTTATAGGCACATGTCAGTTTCTATATAGGTTTTATGTAGGTACTAGGGATCTAAACCCAGGCCTCATGTTTACAAGCACTTTGCCCACAGAATCACCTCCCTGGCCCCTGAGTTGGTTTTAAGATTAAGATGCTGGGCTGGTGAGGTGGCTCCGTGGGTAAAGACGCTTGCTATCAAGCCTGGCAACTGGAGCTCAATCCCTGGACTCTATGTTGGGAGGAGAGAACTGACCCCTGTGAGCTCTCCCATGACCTCTGTAAGCACATGTGGCACACATGTCCGACCACACAAATACAAATCTAACAATTTTTTAAATTAAGATGACAAATGACATTTACCAAAATTATTTGCTGCTTTTTTCTTCTTTTTCAGCAAGAGTTAGAAAACAATTCTTTGCTGAAATAATACGTTTTGTGAATATAGCAGTGAGTGAAAGAACATGCATCTAACTCAGGTATGGTGGCACAAGCCTGTACTTTCAGCACTCAGAAGGTAAAGGCAGAAGAGTTATGAGTTCAAGGCCAGTCTGAACTATATAATAAAATCCTGTCAGGGTCACTGTACTTAAAAGGCACACCATATCTGTTCCATCTGTTATCTTTTTTGCTCCAGTGCTGGACTTACAAAGCTTTATTTAATATTGAAAAGTATCTATGAAGTAATTAATTTGTAATGTTCTGAGATTATGAACTTTTATAATTTCTTAAATATTTTAATTTATGCTTAATCATTGACCAAGTCATCTGAAAAATTCTGAGATACTTCCATAAGCCAAGCAGCACCCCAGCTATGACTGACCTGAATGAAATAAAATCCCCCCTCTTGCCAGGTTATTTCAAGATTCATTCTTTGTATATAAAGTGTATAAGTACTCTATATTCTATAGCAGTGGTTCTTAACCTGTGGGTTGTGACCCTTTGAAGGTCATGTGACCCTTTCACAGAGGTCACATACCAGATATGCTGCATATCAGATATTTACATTACAATTCATAGCAGTAGCAAAATTACACTTATGAAGTAGCAACAAAATAATTTTATGGTTGGGGTCACCACAACATGAGAAATTGTATTAAAAGGTCAAGCATTAGGAAGATTGAGAACGACTGTTGCACATAAATGTTTTCAGTGTTGGAGATACATATCACCAGCCTATTCAAATATATACTAATGCCACACATATGTTTACATATACGTATACATGTACACACATATAGCTCTCGTATCTATAACATTTCTAATGTCTTTGGGAACAATAAACTAAAGGTTAGTGAATAAGTACATGTAGAAAGCATCAATTAACCATAAGGATTTTAGAAACTTGTTTATGACCATAGAGTGAATAAAAATGTAATTATGGATCAATTTCTTTTTAAAAACTGACATTTATCTCCCTCCTGCCACGTGTGTATGTGTGTATCAGCGCATGAGGGCCATGCTGTACGTGTAGAGGGTGAAGGGTTGTTTTTCTCTTTCTACCACGTAGGTCCTAGGTCCTGGACATCACATTTACGTGATTGGGCTTGGTGTAAGTGCCTTTACTCACTTGCTGGCCTGAATAATTTCTTTTAAAAGTGAATGTTTCAGTCCCCTGTAGGAAGGTGTATATAAGAATATAAGCTTCACCCATAAAAATTTGAATCTTTTAATTTATGTTAATGTTGTACAACTATGACTAAGCACATTTATTTTACCTTTCTTTTACATATTATTTCAAAATGCTTAAATAGTATCTTTCAGTTTCAAAAACCATGTAACAGATATAATTACGCAAGGAACACCTGACCAAAGCTTGAAGATAATGCTGATTTGTCTTGATACATTCTGTCATAAAACACCTTGGACTTGAAGGCAACTGCTTGACATTGAAATTTTAGAACAGTGTAACCAAGTTATAAATCTGACCTTTTCTTTCTCTCCTTTTTTTTGAGTACAGAGGATATAACCCAGGGCCTCCTGTATGCGAGGCAAGTATTGTACCATCAAGTTACAGCACCAGCCCAGAGCAGCCCAGAGCATCTAAAATGTCCACAACTACTTATAAAAGAAATCTGTCAGTGGCAGCCTGGCCCCCGGTGTCAGGAATGAGCAGTGGAGAAGGCTAACACACAGAAGAACAGGCTTTGAGGACAGCTGAGGAACTACTTTAAACAAATCTCAAAAAGAACATCTGTTATACAGGTCCAACTTTGGTGACAGCAGATTACTGAAGTACTTTATGAGATCCACGTAAGAACACTAAACATTAAAATAACCTAATAAATTATACATTAGAAAACAAGTTTATCAATGGAGTAGTTGCTCAAATGGTCTAGGAAATAATATTATCTTTAAATACCTACTAAACTCTAAGAGCTGAAAAAACCTTTGCGGTTTGCTTGTCTCTACCCAGGCTACTGTCACTGCCAGAAGTTTTTTTGTAGGTATCTGCACGTGTAGCCAGGCAAAACCACAAAACTTGTTACCTTAATAAAAAAAAAATACCCTAACCAACTCCTACGCCGGCAGGAATTAAAAATGGTTTGTAGAACCAAATTAATTTTCTCGGCTCTGAGAGTGATCTGGAGAAGATCACTTGAGCTGCTTTGCTAAGGCTCCAAATTCACATTATAGAATCAGCACTTTATTTCATGAAGGAGTATATTCATTATAGCCCACAGTAGTGAGGATTTGAATAAACAAGAGGAATATCACTTTTTATTGTTGAGATAGCAAAAGAAAGAAAATGAGTAGGCAGAACTATGCATCATAGACTATCAGAGTTTTCACCATATACATGTCAGATTACTAAATAATAACAGGTTTCTTGTTCAATAATGGAACATAATTTGTGTTTTTAAAAAATATTCAATATCAATATCTTCACACCTTGTAGAGAAAATGTCATGTGCCAGATCCATACTCACTCCTCCAAAAGTGTCCATAGCTCATTACTTTTTATATAGTTTTACAAAATGATAATGTTCCAAAGCCATTAAAATACCTGAGGAGATAAATGCATGTGTGGGGTTAACATCAAGCAACAGTCTATCTGGCAGCAGTGGCCAGTAATGAAACAATTACAGAATGGAAAGCACATCTTGTACGAGCTGACAGAACTGTTAAATCAGGGGAGCTATGAGCAGATGTACTGACACTGTAAGAACTACCAGAAAGCATTAATTTCAGCATTAATAAAATGGCAGTAAATAGATGACAGCTGCCAGATGAACTCAGAAATAAGGTTACTGGCCTTGTTAAGCTCACGTCTCATTTTCTCAGGCACAAACTGATCGAGGTAGCGTCTGAAGTGAAGTGCATCAATGGCAACAATCTCTGTACAGCGTCGCTGCCAATCATCTCTGTGATGGAACAGAAAGGGAAGAAAGATATGGAACAGGTGGAAGCCTTAAAGTAAGACCCTTGCTGGAGCCAGCCTGTTGACATTTGGCAGCACTCAGATATTAAAAACAAACAAACCATAATGACAGGGCCCAGCAAAAGGAGGGCAGGCAATCATTACAGATTTAGATTCAGAGGTATGCATATTGTAGACTGCTGAGTAGTAAAATGAAAAAAAAATAAATCAAGAGACAACATGAGATGACACTGTGAACAAGTACATCACTTATAGTGAGCCTCAGAGGTTAAAGGATTTGGGAGTAAACAAACTTGGTCTTGGTTTTCCCCTAATACCATGGTATTTACTGTATCTTTGTTTTCAGAGATCTGTTCTAAATCATTGGTTTATAACATTATCCCATATTGTACAGGAAACAATCCCAAGGATCAAGTGTTACAAAAAAACATATAACATTCAGTCCAACCTTCTACTTACTGTGCGACTGTCAGCTACAAAAACTATCTTCAAAATGATCTAGACAAGAAAGCAGACAAGACACACTACCTACAGAAATATGAAGGACTACCTGAGGTATGAGTTTGGAAACCCATAAAATTCCAAACATTTCATCTATGAATAAGCTTGCATGTATACTAAAGACAAAAAACTCCATGCTAGTCTGGATAATTATGGGGAATACGTATCCACAGAGATAACTGCTTCATAACAGGCACATGTGTCATAATTCAGTTGTCAACTTGACACAACTGAGAAGAGGGAACTTCCCAATGGATTGGTTAGGGACATGTCTGTGCGACACCTTTTAAATTGCCCAGCTCACTCTAAGCAATGTCATCCCTGAGCAGTTGGTCCTGAGTTGTATAAGGAAGGTAGCTGAACAAGCCAGTAAACAGAACTGCTCCATGCTCTTTTAGCTACTTTGGCTCTTGCCTCAAGTTCTGGCCTTTGCTTCTCGTGATGATGGACTGTAAACTATAAGACAAATAAATAAGCCCTTCCTTCCCCAAGCTTGTTTGGTCATGGTTTTTTAACATCAACAGAACCCAAACAGGAACAACATATTTTATAAAATAAAAAGAAATCATAATCTGAACTTGACATTACAAATAGTAAGACTGTAATATAGATACAGCTGACTCCTTTTGCCAGAATGCCTTTTTCATTAAAAAATGAAACACAAAGTGATTTCCCTCCCCATCTAGCAAAGTAAGATTTTATATCATTTAGTGAGTAAGCAAAGATGTTATTTCAAGAAGAAAGTGGATAGCAGCGGCAATATTCACTTCAGGCTTTGCTGTCAACTAGTATGTGGCACCAGGCAAATTGTCCCAACATACATTCCCCCATGTATCTGGTAACATGGAAAAGTTATGAATAGCTAAATAAGACAGTAAAAGGCTCTAAACTCTAATTAGAACTCATTCTAAGTTTGGGCTTAGAAGCTGACCTCTATAGCTTAGAGACAAAGAGCTGCAGAACTATGCCCTGATCATTTTTGCCTTAGACTTGGAATTTTCATTCTTCTCTTTGGTGTGAGACATAGCAATATTGTTTTGCCTCCCAAAAATCTGAGATACTGAATTTAAAAATAATCTCAATGGAGTTATCACATAATGGGGGAGACAATGCCCCAATTAGACATCTTATGCCACCAAGTAAAACCTCCAGTGCCGAGAATGGGTTAAAGCTTGTGGAGTCGTTGGTCAAAGGGGTCCCATAGATTCCCCCCAAACACTACAGGCTATTGCTGAGGCTACAGATTATTCTCCACAAGCTGATGGTATGGCCCTATTGCTGAAGACAACACTTACTTATGTCATCGAACATGGAGAAATCGAGCTGGTGCCCAACTAGAAGCTTCACCCTTACTGACTAGCGATCATGGTGCTGGAAGGCACTCTGCACACTACCAGAGGAGAAAAGTAATCATCAATATCACCCAGCTACAAACCCTGTGACCTACAACAGCAACCTGCCTGCAAGATCTATTGGTTTAACAGTGGCACAAATATTTTGGGAACAATCAACCACTTTCTGATTGGCTTTAAGGCCCACTCCATCAGACAGAATCTATACTTAACATTGCTAAGGTAGCCAAGAACCTGGGACTAGATAGGTCACAGGCCCAGGGTAAAACCTACTATTACTATTCTGCTAAAGGAACATAGCAATAAATGACTCTGATGACATATTTATTACTATACCCATTGATCAGTGCACTGTTCGACCCTTATCAGAGAAGCTGCTTCTTTCAGTGCTTGGTAATTAACATAGAAAACCAAAACTGGATAATGTGCAGTAAGTAAGAGACTTTGGAACACTTGGTCTCAAATGGGAAGTCTTCATTAAATCTCTGTCAAGTCTCATGGATCTATATGGAAGAGGACACAGAAAAATTCTAAGAGCCAGCGGTGATAAATAATTCCAAGGAAACAGTGTTTTCCAAACACAAAAGGACTGATATACATATAAACTCAGACTGGGACAACATGTACCAGACATGCACAAGGTCAAACCAGACAAAATCCCAGCAGTGAGAAGGGAAGGTAGACACAAAGTTCCATTCCTACTCAATAAGCTCTTTGCAAATGATGTCTGTTGGGAAAGGGTAAATAATTTTTCTCCAATGGAGTGTTATCAGGTATATCAGCCACACTCCGAGATAAGCTCTATGGCTCTATGCCCATTAGGAGCTGACAAACAGAAAATGGACCTCATGAGTTTTTTCCTGTTTTTGTGGGCTTCATGTTGCCAGGGGCGGGGGCGGGGTGGATATACTGAACATGAAGTTGGATGGGTAGGGAGGCATGGAGGATCTAGGATTTGGGAAAGGGGAAAGAACATGGTCAAAATATACTGTACAAAGGAAAAAATAATTCATTTCTGGAAGGGGCAGAGTGCACCAGAGTCAAGCACATACTTCTTTAGTTTCAGCCACACAATACTAAAACCAGAAACACTCACTTTTCACTCCTGTCTTCGTGGCTCCGGGCCCAACGATAAGTTTCAGCATAGCCAGTGTATTCACTGTACTGTTCAGTACCTGAAACGAAAAGTCTATTGTTAACATCCTTTACTTCAGACTCAATGGTGAAAGCATTGTACCTACGGTGATCAATAAGGTGAGAGTATCATTCTATTCTTTTCTTTCTTTCCTTCCTTTCTTCTTCCTTTTTTTTTTTTTTTTTTTCCTTTCCTTAAGGCAGAATTGTTCTATCTAGCCCTGACTGTCCTGGAACTTACTATGTAGACCAGGCTGGAGACTATGATTCTTATTACTTCTATTCAGCATTGTACCTGAGGGATAAGGTAGGTCCACTTGCTCATCACCCCAATCCCTGCTGCCACCAGTGCAATAACCCAAGAAAAGAAATAAAAGGCATACAGAGTGGAAGAAGATAACTAGGGCTGGAGAAGTAGTAGCTCCATGGCAGGGCATCAACATGGCCCTGAGCTTGACCCCAACACAAAATAACATTAAAATAAAATAAAATGTAAAACTGTTTTGCAGATGCCATTATTATTTATATAGTAAATCCCAAAGAACTGCTGAGAGTGGGGCAAGGATAAGGAAAAAAAAATCATAAAAAAAAGTTAAATCAAAGATGTCTCTTTATAATAGCAGCAGACAAGAAAACAAAATACCAAATATCCATTAAACATAGTGATAAAAACATAAATTACCCCTAACAGATGTAGAAGACTGAAAGACGAAAAGACCCAAACAAATAGAGAAATAGAGCATTCTTTTAAAGTAGAAAACTCAGCATTATTACAAGGTTAATTCTTGAGCTATATATTCATCTCAATGCTAACATCAATCTCAATTCCGGACAGCCACACACCCCACGACTCCCACCCCCATTCCAGACCCAGACTGACTTAAACTCATGGGCTCAAGTGATCCTTACACATCAGCCTCTAAAGCAGCTGGGGCTACAGGTACAGCAGCACATATTTTAAACATAGTAATTAAACTGGGTGTGTTTGTGCCATGACTGCCTGGCCAGCAAAAAAGGAAGGAGAACAACAAAACAAAACCAAACCTGGAGTGCTCAACTCTCTTAATTCAACAATTAGTGGATCTTGGCCTAAGAAAAGATGCTTTCAGGAAAGACCTTTGAAACAAAATAGAGGCCACAGGCCAACTAACTGTTAATAAAGGGCACAATAATAAGATCTACAGGAAAAGATAGTTTCCCCCAAATATTGTTGAAACAAACAGATAACTCCTAGAAAATACAGACCTCTAAAGCTACCCCACGAATAAACGTTTTGAGATAGAGAATAGACATAAACACAAAACTACAAAACTTCCAATCAGGAGAGTCATTCCTAATCTCAGAACTTGGAAGGTGGAGGCTAGAAGATCAGGAGTTCAAACTGGGCAAAGAGAGACCCTATCTCAAAAACAAACTCAAAACAGCAACAACAAAAACCTACATAAACAGCTTCATTGCATTTAGCCAAAGATTTCTTGAACTTGATTTAAAAAAAAAAAAAAAAAAAAAAAAAAGCAGTGACCACAAAACTTATAAATGGAACAAAAGCTATACTGGATCAAAATTCAAGTTACTGTCAATAAAAACATCTTTAGGAAAATCAGGCTAAAGAAAAGACACATCACATGACAAGAATCTGACAAAGGACTTGTGTTCAGAACATTTGAAGAAGTCTCAAACATTAATAATAAAAACAAGCAGGGGATAAGAATGTAGAGTTTAGAACAGAGCCCTTTCCAGCATGTGTAAAGCCCTGTGTTTAGACCCCAGATCAGCAAAACAAACATGAAATGAGTAGAAATACACCCCAATTTAGAAAAAAGACAGAAATCCTGAACACACACCTCATATAGGAAGTACACACTGTGCTAACAATCTCATGAAATAATGCTTAATATTATTAGCAACCACATTAAAACCATGTCATTAGCAATCACATTAAAACCACAGTGAGTTATTGTAATAAATCTCAATGTATAGCTAAAATAAAAATGGCCACAATAAGAACCAGGTGTGGTGGCACATATTTTTTTTACTTTTTATTTTTATTAATTAGTTTATTCACTTTGTATCCCAGCTGTAACCTCTCCCTTGTCCCCTCCCAATCTCACCCTCCCTCACTCTTCATCTCTTGTGCCCCTCCCCTAGTCTAATGATAGGGGAGGTTCTCCTCCCCTTCCATCTAACACTGGTCTATCAGGTCTCATCAGGACTGGCTGCATTGTCTTCCTCTGTGGACTGGTAAGGCTGCCCCCCCCCCCTCAGGTGGAGGTGATCAACGAGCCAGCCCATGAGTTCATGTCAGAGACAGTCCCTGTTCCTATTACTGGGTAACCCTGTTGGACACTGAGCTGTCATGGGCTACATTTATGCAGAGGTTCTAGGTTATCGCCATACATGGTCCTTGGTTGGAGTATCAGTCTCACCTGTGCCCACAGCAGATCCTTGTGCCCAGATTTTTTGGTTCTGTTGCCCTCCTTGTGGAGCTCCTATCCCTTCCAGGTCTTTCTATCTTTCATAAGATTCTCTACACTCTGCCAAAAGTTTGGCTATGAGTCTCAACATATGTTTTAATACCCTGATGGGTACAGTCTTTCAGAGGCCCTCTGTAATAAGCTACTGTCCTGTTCCCTGTTTTCTCCCTCTTCCGATGTCCATCCCATTTGCCTTTCTGAATGAAGATTGAGCATCTTACCCAGGGTCCTCCTTCTTGATTAGCTTCCTTAGGTGTACAGATTTTAGTATGATTATCCTATATTACATATCTAATATCCACTTATCAGTGAGTATATACCATGTGTGTCTTTCTGCTTCTGGGGTACTTCACTCAGGATGCTCTTTTCTAGTTCTCACCATTTGCCTGCAAATTTCATGATTTCCTTGTTTTTAATTGCTGAGTAGTATTCCATTGTGTAAATGTACAACAATTTCTGTATCCATTCCTCCACTGAGGGACATCTGGGTTGTTTCCAGATTCTGGCTATTACAAATAAAGCTGCTATGAACATGGTTGAGCAAATGTCCTTGTTGTATACTTGAGCATCTTTTGGATATTTGCCTAGGAGTGGTGTAGCTGGATCTTGAGGAAGCACTATTTCTAATTGTCTGAGAAAGCTCCAGATTGATTTCCAAAGTGGTTGTACAAGTTTACATTTCTACCAGCAATGGAGTAGGGTTCCTCTTTCTGCACATCCTCTCTAGCATGTGTTGTCACTTGAGATTTTTGATCTTAGCCATTCTGATGGCTGGAAATCTCAGGGTTGTTTTAATTTGCATTTCCCTGATGACTAAGGATGCTGAGCATTTCTTTAAGTGTCTCTCTGCCATTCCATGTACTTGGAAGGCTGAGGGAGGTGGGTCTTTGTGAGTTCCAGGCCAGCCAGGCTTATAGGGTAACACCCTGTCTCAAACAACATAAAAACCCAACCAAACACAACCAACTGAGCAAACAACAACAAGGCCGTACAAAGGGCTGACAAGGAAACAGAAGAAGTAGAGATCACATATATCGCTGGCGAAACAACATGGCACAGTAATTCTGAAATACAGTTGGACAATTTCTTTTTCTTTTTCAGTCACAAGAAAAGAACGAGTATTTTTATTTGCAGAGAATGTATCTGAGGGGGGGAAGAGTTTTATATCAGCAAATAGCTATAAAAAGAACATGAGCTAGTTGAAATGAAGGAAATATAAAAAGGAATTATAAACTCAAGATTTCAGCATAATGAAATTCTTCTGATGAGTATATGTGAGCACCTCAGACTGTATATACCATGATAGTAATGGCTTTTAAATTCTTGTAATACATACTATATTTATTGTTCTGAATTAGCTATATGCATGGAGTAGTCTAAGTTTTGTAATGGCTCTATGGGTTTGAAACATTCTGAAAACCATTTAGGACTTTCTTTCCAGTTTAACTATAATTTATACCATTTCATTTAAAATAGGGTTGAAACATCTGGAAAGAAGTCTGCAATATATCATTGAAATATTTCAGCGTTGTGTAATACTACGGTAGCACAATTACTATACTAGGGAAGACTTATTTATTTTTATTCTTTTTTTTAAAAATATTTTGAGAGGACCGTGACTAAAATGCTCAATCCCCATCCTGAAAGGCAAAGAGGAAGGACATCAGAAGAAGGAAATTGGAAACAAGCTAGAAACCCGCCACAGAGGGCCTCTGAAAGGCTCTGCCCTGCAGACTATCAAAGCAGACGCTGAGACTTATGGCCAACTGATGGGCAGAGTGAATGGAATCTTATGTAAGGAGTGGGAAATAGTAAGATCTGGAGACGACAGGAACTCCACAAGGAGAGCAACAGAACCAGAAAATTTGAACACAGGGGTCTTCCCAGAGACTCATACTCCAACCAAGTACCATGCATGCAGATAACGTAGAACCCCTGCACAGATGTAGCCCATGGCAGTTCAATGTCCAAGTGGGTTACACAGTAATGGGAAGAGGGACTGCCTCTGACATAATCTGATTGGCCTGCTCTTTGATCACTTCTCCCTGAGGGGGAAGCAGCCTTACCAGGCCACAGTAGATGACAATGCAGCCACTCCTGATGAGATCTGATAGACTAAGATCAGAAGGAAGGAGAAGAGGACCTCCCCTATCAGTGGACTTGGGGAGGGGCATTTGTGAAGAAGGGGGTGGGAGGGTAGGATTGGGAGGGGAGGAGGGAGGAGCTTATGGGGGATACAAAGTGAATAAAGTATAATTAATAAAAATAAAAAAATATTTTTCTTTTACCGATTTCCATTCTCTCCCAGTCCTCCTCCTTACCACCCCCTGCCATCCTTCCCACACCCGAGTCCTACCTCCATTACCCTCCCCACCCCCTCTCCCACCCAGTTCCCTCCTGGTTTGACAACTTCTTATAAAATTAAACATCAACCGTTTGATCTGAAAATGACATTTGTAGGCATGTACCCATAGAAAACAAAAAATGTGTACCAATAACAAATTGTACAGAAGGGATCAGAGAGACAGCTCTTCAGTGGCTCTTCCACAGGAAGACTTAATTCCTAA